CTATGCAGTTCAGGCTGGCCTTGAGCTCACTTTGTAGCCCAGGCTGGTCTCGAACTCGCAAGGATCCTTCTGCCTCAGCCTCCCAAGTGCTGGGATTACAGGCGTGTGCCACCATGCCCAGCCTATGTTATTTTGATTACTGTAGTATCAGAATTTGAAATCGAGGAATATGATACTCTAGGTTTGTTTTTCTTTCTCATTTAGCTATTCAGGATCTTCAGTAGTTCCATATAGATTTTAGAATTTTTTTCCTATTTATGTGAAAAGTGATTCTAGGATTGCTTTGGGTACTGTGGATGTCTTAACAAAATTCTTCCAACCTATGAAGATGGCCTTTCTTACCATTTATTTGTGTCATTTTCAGTTTCTTTCAGTGATGTTTAATATATGTAGTTTTCAGTGTGTAAATCCTTCACTTCCCTGGTTGAATTTATTCTGAAGTATTTTCTTCTTTTTTAATGCTATCAGAAATAAATTTTTGTTTCTTTTTTCAGATAGGTTATCACTAGTATAAACAAATACAACTGATTAAAAAACTGAAAATCTTAAGCCAGAGACCATTCTGTCTTGTTAACACCAATACATCAGCCATAATTAGTAGGATTTAATAAACTATGGAATGAATAAATGTATAAGCTATTGTTAATATTTTTTAAATAATAAGGCTATCAAAATTAAATTGTATATGATTCAAATATGGATAATAAAGCACCATGGGTTTTTATATAAAATCTGACTGTTCTGCCCAGTGTGGTGATGCATGCCTCCAATCTCAGCACTTGGGAGGCTGAGGCATGCAGATTGCTGCTAGTTCAAGGCCAGCCTGGACTTCATAGTGAGTTCAAGGCCAGCTTAGAGTACATAGTGAGACCCCGTCTCAAAAAACAGGCAATAAAATCTGATTGCTCTAAAATAAAGGTGAGCAACTTTGTAGGGTAAGACATGCTCAATAAAGGAAACAATACAGATATTTGTGTTTGTGCATATATATGTTGTACTTGCACATATCCATTATTCTACAAAAGTAAATCACCCCCAAAAATTTTTTGAGACAGTGTCTCACTACATAGTTCAGGCTGTCATACTCTCAGCAATCTTATTGCCTCAGCTTCCCATGCCTGGTATTACAGCCACGCACCATCACACCTGGTTTATAGAGGTTTTTAAATTGTTGTATTTGACCACCTTTATTGTGAAAATAGTCTTATTATCTTTGTTTTTCTGTATATCTTTAAAAGATTGAGGATCTGTTTACCTCCCAATAGTTAATGAACAAACCCATCTTGATTTCAATATTGAGATCAGATAATTTAAAATTTGCTGTACTACTTGTATTTCTCTTATTTTCTATAAAATGTGCACAGGTGTCCCTAAATAAATAAATAAATAAAAAGTAAAACTTAAAAAAAACTATATACAAGGGGTGACCAAAGTACATAGGGAATAATTAAATTTTTAAGTATTTAAAGACACATTACCATTAATCCTCCTCAGAATACTCCCCCTCTCTTTGAATATACTTATCTCATCACTCTTTGGCAGGGTGAGATAGTGTCTCCCTATGTAGTTCAGGCTGGCCTTGAACTCACTTTGTAGCCCGGGTTGGCCTTGAACTCACAGCAATCCTCCTGCCTCAGCATCCTGAGTGCTGGAAAAATAAGCATACCCCACCATGCCTGGCCTTGTCAGTTTTTGAAGCAGCTCTGAAAGTCCTCTTTTACGTCTTTATGAGGTATGATCAAAAATGAGGTGAATTCCTAGTACTGCCCCACAGAAAGGCAGGTTCATAAAAACTTATATGTCTTCATTCAATACATCTGGCACCTGAAATTTCTGGCTCTTCTTCAAAGTCAAAATGACAAGGAAAAGTAAATACTTTGCATCAATTCAGGACATGAAGATAGCTATAACAGCACAACTAAAGACAACTCTCTGCCTATAGGAATTTGACTTTTTTAGATTCCAAGGGTCAATGCAATCATGCAGCATTTCTCTTTCTGTGTCTAGCTCATTTCACTGAGCAAAATGTCCTCCAGGTTTACTCATGTTGCTGCAAATGGCCAGATTTCCTTCTTGGGTAAGAGTGGAGGACCCATTGTACATCTACTGACAGAAATGAGCAGCAGCAAGACTGAGAATACATAATAAGTCAGAAGGAGGGAGATATATACTGGCAAAGACAAAAGGGACTTTATCCAACTTGTACCTGGCTTGTCTTAAGCTAACTAAACAGCCAGACACAGCTCTAGTGTCATAATACAGTTGCAAAGCTCCACATAACACTTTACTGATTTTAGTATGCTCAGAAATTGCTAGGGTTTGTGTCTAGATGTCCCCCTAAAACCTCACACAGTCATGGGGGGTGGGCTTTTCAGAGGGTACAATGCTGCGATTAAGGGTGTATGATGCTAGGATTAAGGGTATGTGATCAATTCAGCAACAAAATTGATGAACCTGTAGAAAATTATGCTAAATGAGATAAGCCAGACATAGAAAAAAATATAGGTGATCTCATATGTGAAATCTAAAAACACAACACATACATAGACATGGAGAGTAGGATAGTGGTCAGCAGGTGGGAGGAAGACAAAAGAGACAGAGGTCAAAGGGTACAAATTTGCTGTGTTATAAGATAAATTTAAAGATCTTTTTTATACTGCTGGTAGGAATGTATTGATATAACTATTATAGGAAACAGTATGGATGTTCTTCAATTTTATTTCTATATAGTATCAACAAACAATTTAGGAAAATCAAATAAAGTTCGAATAGCATATAAAAACAACCACTTAGGGATAAGTCTGACAAAAGATGGTGTATATATAAACATTGAAAATTACAAAATATTGCTGAGAAAAATTCTGAAATACCTATATAAATGGAGAGAGACCATATTCATAAGTTCAATGGGTCAGAAAATCCAATTTTGTTCAGGGTCTGTTCTACTCAAAATGATTTACAGATTCAACACAATCCTAATCCCAGCAGATATTTTTGTAAAAGTTGAAAAGCTGATTTTAAAAATTTGTACAAAAATAAAAATTCCAAGAATAGCCAAACCAATAAAAAACAGAGTTTAAGGACTAACACTACATGACTTCAAGGCTAACATATAGCTACAATAGTGAAGGCAATATGACATTCCTAATAAAATAAAGAAACAGATCAGTGAAACAGAATAGACCCACATGCATGTGAACAGCTAATCTTCAACAAAAACATTAAGGCAATTCCATGAAGAAAGTCTTTTGAATAAACTGTCCTGAGCCAGGTGCAGTGATACCTGTAACCCCAACTGCTTCACAAGTAAAGGCAGGAGGAATGTGAGTTCAAGTCCAGGATGGGCAACAAAGGAAAACTCTCCATCTCAAAACACAAAACAAGTGCTGGGGGCATAACTCACAGTAGAGCATTTGCCTCGTCTGCACAAGGGCCTATGTTCAACCCCTTCCTGCAATAATAATGATGATGATGATAAATTAAATAAATGAATAAATAAATTGTCCTGGGACAATAGGATAGCTACAGGCCAAAACAAAACACCTTAACTTTGATCCATATATCACACCATATACAAAAAAGTGGACTATAGGCCTAAAAAAAGCAAAATTTTATAGACTTGGCATAAATTTCTTAGGTATGACACTAAAATCATGATCCATAAAAGAAAAATTTTCACAAATTGTACACCAACAAAATTAAAAACTTCTACTCTTAGATAAAGACGTTCTTGAGAGAATGAGAAAAGAAACTATTGACAAATCACGTTGTAGCAGAAGATATGCCCTGCACCGCCCCAGCCAGTATACTTCAATTTCTTAGTTGACCAGGTAACGGTTCTTGTTATAGTTCCTGTTACTTTTGTTTCTTAGAAACTGCTGGTCACTCTGCTGCATATTGTTAGAACCAATCCCCAATTGACAAGCCATTCTGCCTCTTGTCCCCAGGCCACCAGATATCAAGGCTTGATATTCTGAGAATGATCCCAATCAGTGCCTGTAAACAAATCTGCCTCCAAATCCTGGATGTCCTTTTGATGCTTCTGGTTGCCACTGTAATGCAGCTGATAAAGGATTACATTCATCAATAAGAGAAATAAATTATTGATAGATCCATCAATACAAATTTCAAAATGTTTATGCTTAAGAGCAAGAAATCAGTCAAAAAAGAATGTCCTACTGTATGGCTGGAATCATATAAATTATAGAAAGTACAAGCTAGAATGTGGTGACTGAAAGGAGACTAGTGGCGGCCTGAGGGCCAGCAGAGGAGAGGCTGTGAGGAGAGGCAAGAGGAGCGGAAGCAGGGGGAAGGGACAAGTTACTGAGGGGTGCACGGGAACTTTCGGGTGATGACACCACGGGGTACAAACACAGGTCAAAATTACAAATTGTGCACGTTAGGTACACACAGTCTGCTGTATATTTACCAATTTACCACAAGAAAGTTGATTTTCAAAGGGATATGGAAGGGGGCCAGGGATTTAGCTCAGTGGTGCAGTGCCTGCTGGCAAGTGTAAAGTCCTAAGTTCAATTCCCAGTACCCACCCAAAAAGAAATTGATTCAAAAGGACATGGAGCAAACTTGACAAAAATTAGCTTGTCTTTTCTTTACTTTTTCTTTTCTTTTCTTTTTTTTTTTTTTTTT